CCTCTTACCTGTCTCCTTCGCAGTTGACTTGATTCCACTTTAGCAGTTTTCTGCTACATCGCCCCTACATCTCCCTTTCTGCGCATGCCATGACTCAGGGGTGTCTCGTTCAGTCCCGATCCGCACAACCACCGCCGCACACTACCCGATCCTCTACCCCACGACCTTGAAAGCGCACCTACACAGCATATCGTCCTGGCAGCCTGTTGGTACAGATCGCCTGTTGTTAATGTTCCTCTCGCACAGGGTAAAGAGGTGCGCTGGATTCATTTTCTCAATGTACTACATGATTCGTGGATTTCTTTACTCCTAGAAAGAATGAGGACTTATACCCGACGAAAAGCATGTTCCTTCTCGTCCCCCTTCACTGAACCCCAATTCGTAGTAACCACCCGCTGCAGCGCAGATTGCCTTGGGGGAGCACGAAAGTGGCCGACAGTGTGTGGCCGATTCTAAACGGTTTTGCATGCGTTGTTCACTCTTTGTTACCCGTGTTCACCTTTCGTTCTCCGTTTACAAGCAGTCTTTTATGTCTAGTCACTTATGATTTCCCCTCAGTACCATCTGTCAATCGAACACTACGGTGAGTATATATCGAGCTATATACGTACTTCGACTCTTCTGACTACAGACTTAAATGTTTTGTCTTCCGGTCTCTAGGTATGCTGTCGTAGCATAAATCTCTCAAGTGAAGACTGCCCGTCTCTAGTCCTCCTTGAGACAGTTTCAGCATGATTCAGACGGATAGGATGAAGGGTTTTTGACAAGTCTTCAGCAAGACTGTTGCTGATGTTTGCAAAATGCGTGTCCTTCACACAAAGACGAGAAATGATCGATCCAAGAGCACAGTGACCATAAGTTCTATGTACGTGTTGATAGGACAACGCATGTGCGACGATAATTAATGCTAGTAACAACCCGGAAAATGTGTTCGGAACCGGTCTACAAGCAGAAACACTTGAAACGGCTGCTTCCATGCCTTTCCATCTCACCGGTCTTAATGATTAATATGCGCTGCCGCGGATCATCACGGTTGTAGTGAATTGAGACATACCCTGTTAACAGCGGCAGCGCTGGTACTGAAGCTTGAAGGCCTATGAGACTGATGTTAGCAATTATTGCCAATTATTTGAGGCTATGCTAGTCGCAATCGCTGAGTGGTGGATTATAGTGCGCGTGTTGCTAAACATCAACGTTTCAACTGCGCAACCTCAGTACCACTAGTATCAACTCAAAGCTGCGCTTGCGCATCCAATTATATACTCCAGATACAGGCTTGTGCAAGCAGACTCAAAGGAAAGACCGTGGAGCCAAGTTTAGATCCGTCGGTCCAGGGTAGTGCGGTTACGGTATTGCGCAATTGAGGAACGTGGACGCATCGGGTAGAATGGTGATGGGCAGGGTCTGTCGGTCGACCATTATTCTGCATCCTACCGTGCAAATCAACGATGTCTGATCGTTATGCACAATGAACGGACGGCCCTGAACGTCCGCAGCTACAAGAGCCTGTGTTCGACGGACGGAGATGAAATCCGTGTTGGTGGCGTGGTAAACGGTGGGAAGTCTGTGCACCTGGACCAAAAGTCTGGCAGCACTTCCCGTACTCGTCGTATTCCACGATGACCACGATCCTTTCTCCGTCGTGTTGCCCGGTCTTGAGGTCTTTCATTTTTCTGTCATTTTCCGCGTCTCTCCTTTCGACATTCGCACAGCCCGCAACACTTCCGTTCTATGACTGTTTCTCAGGAAGTGCATCACAGAAACTTTCTGTTGATACAGTGTACTCGCAAATAATCAATGGACAGACGCTGAATATCACGATTTTGGGGAATGCCTCCCAGCAGATCGTCGCATCTTCTGCTAACAGCACCAGCCTTTGTACGCATACTTACTCGTGTGCTTTAGCGGCATAACTCATGTTCTTCCCTCCAAGCTACCCTCTTCACGGAAGCCACGACGCTCACCATGAATACCTTTAGTAACAACTCTGCTTTGTGCGATACATTACGCCCACCTTCTCCTCTGCCATCTCTCGGTGGAAATTCTACATATTGCCCCATACCTGCAGGGCAATTTGCACTCTCTGCATCCATACCATTTAATACCCAGAATTCTTTGACAACTATGGACACGGAACTCCGAGCTGTCGACCCATCTGGAAACGAGATATTATGCCTTAGCGTTACAACCACACCACTTCATCCTGGACCACTTGATTCGCCGTATGGCAATGCCCACATCATATTCTGGGCAACAATTGCTCTTGCAGCAACTTATTGGCTCATTGTTGGGTTTGCTCGGATCGTATCTGCCTGGAGTCGGGGCTTTAGTAGACCTGGTCCGGGCATCTGGCACCGGTTTGAGAGTACTGGGTTCATTCTTGCTAGTGCTATCAGCGGTGAGCGTTTTTCAACATCACCTGCATTGATGAGATTTTGTAAGTAATTTTACATGCTCTGTTCGTATTTTTGCGGTGCTCATGGTTCATCAGGCTCCCCATCATTGCGTGACATCATCTTTCACACGCAGTGGTGTGCAGCCCTAGCTATGGTTGCTGTTCAGTGGCCGCCCTTTATTTGTGAGTAGCAATTCAGAATTTGATATACACCACACGTGCTCATGAATTTCAGATCCCCTACTTTCGCAAACTGCCTGGGCATCGCTGACGTATAGTAGGTTTAGATCTGAATAGTGCCGTACGAACTGCTAATGGTCTGTAGACATCACATTGAACGCACATTCCATACACTGGAATCCACTGAATGTCCAACCGTATAATCCACCATCAGACTTCGCCGATCAGTTGGCCGATCCAACTTCTGTTATCTACATTGACCAGTCAATTCCGAACACAATTTTCCTACTTCCACCGAACACTACAACTGGGATGCAATCCTTTGCATGGAGTGTTGGAGTACAACCCCAAGATCTCTTTGCGATCTGCTTAACCCTGTTCTTGGCCATTATAGCTGGGACAATCTTGCTCAGTCTGTTCCTATGGACGGTAGATTGGATATTTTCACAACGGCCGTCAGGCAGTTTATCAAGTTCTGCTGTGCTTACAAACGCAGCGAGCAAGGGTCATATGCCACGGCTTTCAGCGGCCAGTAAGGACATGCTCGACACCAGTGGAGATGAGAGCAGATCATCAACTGGATTTGGCCACAACTATACTTTACTCAGAAGGCGCTTATTTCGACCGGAAGTCAGCTCTTTTCACTCTAGCGTGCTCATAGGAAACCTTGTGCGCGTTCTCGTCCTTTTTCATTTACCCGTCACCATATTCTCGTGCTACGAATTTTCAACAGGAAGCTCAGCATCTTCAGTAGCCCTTGGCGCCCTCTCATTCGCACTCTTCTCTGTAATCGCTCCTTCTCTTCTGCTCCTGCGGCTAAGCCGGACGTTAACAACCAAATTATACGATGAAACACGTACTCTTCTTGCGTTAGGTCCACTCTACAATCACTACCGCCAGAACTCGCAGCTTTTCTCAGGCTTGCTTTTTCTGTCCAACCTCGTCCTCGGGGTGACTATAGGGTGCGCACAGCACAGTGGAACAGCACAAGCGATTGTAATTTTAGTGGCAGAAGTTGTTAGCGCTTTGGTCACGAGCGTATGGTTACCATGGGGTGCAGGAGCAGGCATGGGCCTCATCAGCTTCCTATTTTGCGTTGCACGTATCGTGGTTGCCGTGCTGCTAGTCATTTTGACCCCAACTGTAAGGCCGCCTGTCTCCGTGAAGTCTAATGCTAACAGCTCGTTCAGATTTCAATAGGCGCAGGCGCAGGCGGTTGGGTAGCCTATGGCATACTGATCGTCCTTTGCCTTGTTTATCTTACGTTGTTTCTGATTCTTGTTATCAAGGTCATCGAAGCTGTTGTGCGCATTGTTGGTCGGGTCGGCTTTGATCACTCCAGACGGCCAGTTGATAGCGGATTGATCGGTGTGCTTTCTCTTCTCGGATGTTGCGGGCCACGGAGAGGTGGTCGCGAACGAAGACACTATAAAGCCACGGAAGTACGACATTCACCTGTTGCGCGAGACTCTTTCGCTGCACGTGATTCATCTCCCTATGTGCCACCCAACGCATCTTTCGCGCAGAAAGACAAGGGTTCCAGCTCCTCTCATCATTCCGGTGGGCCCCCGCCATCAGTATTGCGACCCGAGCATGCTCTGCAGCCTTACAGAGAGGACAGCGATGACGATGCAGAAAGTGGTTATATCATGGGCGCGTGGCAGCCATTCCCAGGGCCAGGTCCCCGCAGCTCATACGACCGCACATCCATTAGTACACCTCCCCAACACTCCAATTCAGGTTTCTCCCGCATCGGTGGCGGTCGCGCCCACTATGACTCACCGTACGCGATTGCCAGCGAGACTGGAGGGAGCTCAACTTTCACGTTCCCTAGCATGGAACGCAAGCGCAGTGGGCCGGTGTCTGTTGGCACACCAACGAAGACGATCTATGACGATGAAGAACTACCTACTCCAACTGCTTCCATAGCGAATGTTGCGCGCCTTCCTGCGCTCATGGGCTCTGGACTACCTACTGGAGCAATGTTGCCACACATGCGCACGAAGAGTCAAACAGCAGTTATTATTGGAGATGTAGCTGCATTGAATGCAACACCTGTAAATGCTCCTACGCAGGAGGAGCATCCTTCGATGGCGACCAAGACGAATAGCGGGGAATCGAACAACAGTGATCCTGACCAGCCAAAGAAGAGACATTGGTACAACATTCGAAGGAATCGTAGGCACAGCGAGGGTGATCGACTGGACAGTGGAGTGAGTGAGGTGGAGCCTGAAGGCAGTTCATCTCCCAAGGATTCTGGAAAGTCGTTCGTCGTTATCCGGGCACGAAAGCCTCAATCATCACAACCCGATACTCATCCACACATTCACAAGGTTAGATACTCAATGGACGAAACTGGAGCAGGACCTTCTTCGCAAGCAAAATCTCTGAAGCCATGAATTGACATTATAATGTACATACACGCCTTTTACGCTTTGTTTTTACCTTGTCCTACTTTGCATTTATGATGTACCACCTCGTGATTCTTACGGTACGCATCATCTTGCATATGTAATATTTACTGCACTCGTGTATCTGAACCACACTCTGTTTTGTGTTGCTGGTACGTACGGTTACAGTACTGGATTTGATACATGCCCTTGACATGAGATAAATTAAGTTGTCGTGATTAAACCGAAATAAGATGTCCACGGGAGTTCCGAGTTAGTGAAAGGTAATTAGGGTCGTTCAGTCATCCACAGGACTGCTGGTGTCACTTCCTAACCAGAATATTCGCCAGTCCTGCCACTCCTTCCGCCACCACCCATATACACCTTCCTCGGCCTTCGCGCGCGATAAAAGTTCCTCCGTCTCAAACGAGCTGGTAGACATGGTGGACATGGCGGAATTCATTCTCTCCAACTGAGGTGCACCGATGTAACGACGCCAACGTCCTCCAACCGTGAGGAACCCAGCCTCGCCGAGTGGATTCTGCGCAAAGGGTGGCTCAGGAAGTACCTTGCCTTTACCCTTACAATTCCCGGAAAGATATGATAGAGGCACTTCATGCGCCTCAACGCCTTCGTCGCCCATCCCAATCAACTGTAAGAAAGGTTCAGGGACTTCTTGTGGACTGACCGGCTCTGGCAAATGCGTTCGGACGGTCACGCTCGAAGGCGGGAAATCCCAGGTTATGGTGTACAAAGGAGGCGTGGCTTGGATACATGCGGGAAGGGGGGCAGCAACGATGTGTGTGATTTTGCCACGTGTGAGGACAAAAACGCTGCTGTAGGAGGCACCAAGGTGAGGAATATGTATGGTTGGGATATCGGCTTTTGAGGGCAGAACCCAAGCGCCTTTGTGTTCTTTTCCAGCCGCGAAATCGACCGAACCTCGAGACCGACGACTTGGGAAAGATCCTCCAGTGTTCAATGTCAGGCTGGATCCACTTCCACCTACAGGGGAAAGATTGCTAACGCTCCCTCCACTTTCGAACATGTCCACTTCCGTGACTGCTGAATCAGCTACTCGTATGATTCCAGCCCTTTTGTCGAACACCACAAAAATTGCTGTTTGGGCTTCATATGCGATGTTCACAGGTGCAGCTACGGGTGTACGCGGGTTGCTCGAGGCATCTGCGGAAGCTATACGGTTATGACTATACCCAACACTCGTTCGAGAAGATCCAACATCAGACAGGGATCGAAATGTGTCTTGTACGCATTGCTGAACGAAAGTAAGAGAGCGTGGTGGGGATGGAGTGTAAAATTCCTGTAGAGAGTCTTGTAGTCAAATTAAACATCAGAAGATCGATACACACCTTCACGAAATGAAAAGCCCGCTCTCCTCTCGGAGTCTCGTATAAAAGTATGTTGGTCTTAGTTGCCACAGCAAGCAGTGCACGGCGAGTGGAGCTCGTGCTACCTTCGTGCCAGAGGGCATAGGAAACCACACTAGTATTCGACATTCTGGACCCAGTCGACGAGAGTGACGTAAAATCAGTAGCCCAGCGCAATGGTAAATCGTCAACGACATCCCAAGATGATTCTCTCTTTGGTGTCGACGGGCGATTTGTATTTGATGTTGGAAGGAAACTGGCTCGTCGCTTACGAGTGGGGGGCTCGGTGATGAGATTTCGTAAGCCTCTCGTAATACTATTTGCTGGTCTGTGCTTCTTCACTGGTGTCTCTTGGGGATGCCAGTCTGACAACCTGTGCAAATCAACTGGCTGTGCGTCCTGGAATAGCAAAGTGAATACGTGGGATGACGTGAGGGAAGACTAAGTGACTGTCTCACTTGATGCGCGATGGTCCACCTCGCCAGGCTGGTCAGACTTGCGAGTTTATACATTCTGAGAAAGCGCGGGGATTCTTGATGCGCGCCAGGAGATAGAGAATCTTCGAGCTCAGGACCGACCAGAGCAAGTACGACCCCCTGCGGGGCACTTTCACCGGCGTCTTCGTACTCCAACAGCGACAACTGGTAAACACTGTAATATACTGTCCGTTAATAGCTAGGCAAGGGGAATATGAATGATCGTTTGCTTACGCCTCTCCTGTCCACATTACTTTGGCCTGTGCGTCAGCAGGTCCCTTCTGGATGAGGCCAGTCACCCCATCAGGACTTGTCTCATCAGCCCACTTTGCAGGGAACATGTTAAGGACTGACAGCCCGACATCGGTGCCCATGAGCAGGAGACGATCATGCTGGAGAGGAAGAATACATCTGATAGGCGCAGTTGAGTGTGGCAAAAAACGGGATCCGAAATGATGGATTGAGAGATGAGTTGGGGACAGATGTTCCTCTGGTATGTGCAGAGAAGGCTCCAGCGATGGTTCGGGGGTTGTGTATTCATCGGGAAGTACCTGCGGGGGAGCAGGAAGATCTGCATTTATTGTTAAGCGCTGCAGTGTTGAGCTGCGACACTCTGGGATAGAGTCGTCTTGATATTCCTCCGAGTCCTGTGCGATGCCAGATGAGTACATCGTAGCATCATGAGGCAGAATAGACACATACAGCAGCTTGCGAAGACCCATCTTCACTCCAGCCTCTAGCTCGCCTGCGCTGAAATTCCTCGGCAGTGACGTCTGCATAACGCTCTGCGGCTCTAAATTCCGATCAAAAGCTAGCATACTGACCAAGGCTAGCGTGCTCACCTCTTTTCTATCCAGCCTCTCCAGCGACCAAAGCTACCATCAGTGAATACGTGAGATTATGTCGATCAATGGGTTCTCCTGTCTGCGCACCGTGAATTTGGACCACTTTGAGCTGCAACATCGTTATAAGTTGGAAGGTCCCCAGAACCCTGTTCATCTCGCTCAGCGCCCTGAGTGTAAGTCTCAAAACTCTCAACAGTGCCTCCTGGCGACGTGGACATTTCTGTTACCAAATCTACAGAGTCAGCGCTCAGCAGATACAAGGGTGCTGTGTTTGTTTGTAATGTGGCTAATAACCGGCTGTGCAGGAAAGGAGACAAAGTAATGGCATGTCAAAACTAACAATACACACTACTAGCATGCAGATTTGCGTAGTACTTTATGATTGAACTGGTTGTCAGTGTATTGGACAAGGAAAGTCATTTCAAGAAAACGCCAGTCCCGTGAATGTCGCTACAGCGCCCACCAGTGCTCCGCCAGCGGCAACACCGAGATTCCCCTTTTTTTTCCGCCCTTTCTCTTCTTCCTCCGTCAGACGTTGTTGAAGGAATTCCGCTGCACCCCCCTCCTTAGCTAATATAACCCATCGGTGCTCTTGTGAGCTTCCATTCGGCAGCACTCGGACGCTGAAACCTAGTTTTTCTGCGTCGCACTGTACAGCCTTGAGATCGATCAATGGGACAGAGAATAACATGGCAGGTGCAACCCCTGATGATTGCGTGAGATTGTCGAGGAATAATGATCTCTCATCTGCACTCATTGTTCGTGCCAAAGGATTTGGCTTCCTTTCGCAATCGGCATCAAGGAAGATAGTTTTGTTCATATCGACGAAGTCACTTGTGGGGTGGCTAGAAAGTGGTTCTGTGGACACCAGACTCGCAGTCGGAGTCTGCAGCGTGCACGGCATAAGACGTGACAGGCCGGTACCCGGACTAGCATGACCAGTTGCGTATGCCTCGTTTCCCGCCCTGGAGCTGATTTCTGGAGCTTCTTCCGGAGGTGATTCAGGACTAGTTAAAGTCCGTCTCCATCGCATTATTGCTCTCTGACCATCGCCATCGCCACCACCACCATCATGATCATCATGATCTTCACCGTCGGATACGTTACTCATCATTCCTGGTTGGAGAAGTCTCTCTACGATTTCGGAAGATGTGGTGGAGAGTGAAGTGAGACTTCCCGCTGGAAGAAGGGCAAAACGAACAGAGAGTCGGCGTTTGAGATTCTTGGATTGGGTGGGTGTTTCAGTGGAAACGGAAGAACGCTCGTCATTGGAATTTACAATGCGCAAGGATGACATTTCGTCCACGATATCTTCTGTGGCACCACTAGTCCGATCCGACATCGTAGGCTCAATATAAGGACAGCCGGAGCGAGGATGTCCCTGCCTGGGTCGGTGGCATGTCTTGCAGTGGGGAGTACGGCGCGGAGACGTGCCTGGAGTTGAAAGATCTGTGGTCATTCCAACACTAGAGCAAGTTTTGGCTTTGGATGACGTTGATAGTGAATTTGGGTTGGCAGAACGAGTGACAGGCATCATTCTGCCAATCAGATAAAATTGTATGACGAGTTAGAGGGTAAGTGAATATGAACAACAACCTGAGAGTTTCTGTTGCAAGTCAAGGGCAAGGTATTTAACGCCCTTTGATGATTCTCTCCTCTGCAAAAAGCACCTTCGGAGTTAAATAATACGATCGATGAAAATGGCTGTAAAGACAATAGACTTTGTTTAGTCCAAGAAAGCTCCATTAGTGAATCTTTGGCTGTTCTCACCGGTGTCCAAGACAACTATATGTCAGACGCACTTTAAAGATCTGCTCACAAAAAGGCGTCGCGACTCGCGACCGTGACTGGCTCCTGAACAGTCGAAGTCACGTGTGCGATCGTTGTCAACGGCAAACCTTGTGTGGAGACCAGCATCCTGGTAGCTACTACTAGGTTCAGCGTCCAGACATGCTGTCACAACGCACCAGTGCTTTGCACTTGAAGCTGAGCGTCCTTATTCTCATCAAACAAAATTTGGTTTAATTTTGTTCTTAGTTTATTTCCGTCATGCCACTCATCATGATTCAGTAATGCGGCAGGGGAGCGTTGCATTGGGCATTTGTCCCCTCATTACTCCATCAATGGCCCGTGCATGTCCAGCTTTGCTTTATAATCACACACTCTCGCATCCTTGGGACGACGGTGTTATCTATGTGGACCGACACCGTGACATATCCTGACTTTCAAACGCTTCAGGATACGTCCACTACCGTACCGCGAATTGTACTACATCACAATCAATATTTTTGATGCTACTAGACATAAATATGTGAATAAATGTATGTATGGTGTATGTTAGTCATGGTTTCTGCGGTCTTGTCGATGTCCCTCATAGCTGGTTCAAATGGCGTGCATCTGCCAACTTCAACCCTACAACACCCTACCTGAGGTTAGTCTGTTAATGGGCCCCTGCGAGCCTCTTTATCCAGCAAAGTAAGCCACGAGTTTTGTGTCGCTGGCATGGAACTGACTTGACTATATAAGAGCAGCTATTTTTTTGCCGTCATCTGCTCTATGAAATAGATCTCTACCACGACGCCGCACCGTATGATCTATGCGTATTTATTTATCTTGAGCATTCCTGGTCAGCATTGAAACTGTATGGCTTAATGATTATGAAGTAGAGGCCCCGAGTCAGTCATGCTCCGCCGTCACCTCAGCACACATCACCATCCATCATAATCCGACCGGTCGTATAATAAGAGGCTCCTTTCAACTGTCATCCACGGAAGTCTAAGGAGCCCTCGAACACGGAAAGTCTACCCATATTTGTGCTTCAAATTTCACTAGGGATACTCTCGAACCCTCTTGATCCCCGAACTGACACTTCCTTGCTTCAGGTGCTAGTAATTTAGCAAGCACTGGCTTTACCCCTCTCACGTTTTGTGTATGCCTAAATGACAGGATGCCTAGTCAATAATTCAACCATGCCACACGAATGGCAGCGTTTATTATCGTTGCCTTCACAAGACAGTTCAATAATTCCAAACTTAACCTTCTGTTTTGTGTATTTTTTAAATCAGCTACTAAATAAGTCCTTCAAGCAATCATGTGCATAAAGACCGAGACAGCATGCAGTGAGTCGTGGTTCTCTAGTTTGTTGCAGGGGTCGGTGTTCTCACCTGACAGCAAGACAGGTGTCAGCCGCTTACACTCAAGAGCAAGAGCAAGAGCCTGCACCCTAGTTTATGCAATTTCTCCCGGTCAGAACAACTCAAGTATTACCAAAGTTCGGTTCTTGCCGTGACCGTCCTCATAATATTTCATGCTGCCCAAAAGGACACCTTCCATATATCCGAAGTCTCGCATGTCATTACATTACATGCAGACTCTGGCGGTGTTAAGACACAGTCATAACAAAAAAAAACATACTTCTTATTACTCATTCCTGTCATCTCTTGTCATCATCACCGCGTCGCTTCTTGGATGTTTTAGATTTCTTCGATTTTTTGGATTTTTTGGATTTCTTTAGGGCTTTTTCTTCTTTCCTCTGTGCCAAAATGTAGTCCCGCATAGGATCTTCAGGATCGATGGAAATAACCGAAGATGCATCTGAATCCGATGCATGACCTCCATCTGGGACGGCAACACGCATTAAAGTCTGCCTGCAATTTAGAAGGGGGCCACTCACCAATGATCATCTCTGGCCTGGCATTCAAACTCTGTTCCTCAGGTTCCTCCCATTCTCCATCACCGCCTTTCACCTTTGGCTGTTTATAGTTCTTTACGTGGTCTACACGCAGCGTCTTGCCCAGGACATTGGCACCGTTGAGGTTATCGACAGCCAATACAGTGGACCTTTGATCTTCATACATAAGGAAGGCAAATCCCCTCGGGTTTCCAGTCGTTTTGTCCCGAGGGAGATTAACATCCATAACTTCCCCATACCTTTCCAAGTGGTTCAACGATATTCAAATAGCTAGAGTAATTGACGCACTGGGAAAATATGGTGATCACGTCACCTTCAGTCAAGTCAAAGTGCAGACCGCCAATGAAAACATACGCAGAATCTAGTGTAATGCGCGCGTCAGAGCACCGGAACACCGCAGTGAACTGCGACTCACCCTTGTATTCATCATGCCATGAACCTGAAATCCCGAGTTCAAGTTCACGCTCATTAATCTTATTTATTTCCCGAACGACGCTGCCAAAATTCAAGAATTAGATGGAATGACTTCGGAGGAAACGATCATAGATTCATACCCACTTCATGACTGTAGAGGATGAAGACAAGATTCCCACGCCCTCCTGAACTCAAAATTTCGGTAGCTCATCTTGTTTGCCATCAACGCAGACCACAATGGCTTCCTTCACTTTACCGCCAATTCATGACAATCCTGATGGAGGATGGGGTCCATCGTCTTCTAACATTCCTGAACAGTTCAAGTTCAAGGACATTCCATATGCGCCATACTCAAAGTCTGATAAGCTCGGCCGCTTCGCTGATTGGAATGATACCACAGGCGATACTCGCCAAACTGCAGTAGGACTTCCCTCAACAAGGGATGCCCGCGGTCCAGGTCGGTCGAGAAGAGATGGTGCTCAGGCATTCGGCAGTGGGACTGCCAGTGCTTTCGCTTACTTCCATGTGGAAGACGAATCCAGCTTCTCTCTGGTGGACAATAAAGCTGCTCCTCCACGCAGGGGTGGATTCACCCGTGGAAGGGCTACTGGCCGTGGCGGTATGTCCTTTGCCAATCGGGGGGTTGCTCAACGAGGTGGCCGTGGTGGTTTTAATAACCGAGGGGGCGCACAGCGTGGGGGTCGGAAAGGATGGAGAGATTGGGAAAAGGTTCACTGCGTGTCCTATTTACTTCTAGTCCAACTAATATTTTCATGGATCAGACAAATCGCACTCGTGAATCGTCTGTTGCGATCAGTCCACAATGGACCATGTTGGAGGAGATTGAGTTCCATCGGCTTGCCAAGCTCAAGCTTGAAGTCGATGAGCCGGAAGATATGTGAGTGTTTCTGGTTCTTCTGCTATCGTTCCCTATCGAAGACAGCCACTAGTGACACTTACGGCCGCGTCTTTGCGTATGATAAATCATATGATCGAATTACAACGAAGACCGAACGCCCGTTACAACTCGTGGACCGCATTAAGTATAACACCACAACTTCTGATGATCCCGTCATCCAGCAGGTATGTTCTGCTATCTCTGCACCTTATGTTGCCTAATGTCGTACATAGTTAGTCTCCAAAAATGTTGCCAATGTCTACACCACAGATGCTATTTTGTCGGTCCTCATGTGCGCACCTCGATCAGTCAACCCTTGGGATATTGTCATTCTCCGTGAGGGTAATAATCTTTACTTCGATAAGCGTGATGGTGGTCCATTTGACACTGTTACGGTGAACGAAAACGCTTCGGACCCTCCGCAAGACCCTGCACCCCCAAACCCAAATAACCCGGCCGAGAAGACAGCGGTTCCAGAGCCACCATCCATTAATTCGGCTACGTCACTTTCTTTGGAAGCGACTTACATCAATCAAAACTTTGGATTCCAATCTGTTCAGGAAAACATCACGGCAGACTTTGCCCACCCTAACCCATTTTACGGCCCAGAAGAGACAGAGCCTTTAGCATCTTGCGGATACCGCTACCGTGTTTTCGACCTCGGTATCACGGAGGACGAAGATGTGAAAATCTGTATCCGCACTGAAGTGGATGCTTATGTTCCCGGACCAGGAAATCCACAAGAGGGCCACGGATTGGTCACCATTCGTGCATTGAACGAATTTGACCCCCGTGCCCAAGGAGCAGGCGGTGCTCCTGACTGGCGGTCCAAGCTGGATTCACAGCGTGGCGCTGTAGTTGCTACAGAAATGAAAAACAATAGTTGCAAACTTGCCAAGTGGACTGTACAGAGTGTGCTGGCAGGAGCTGAACTAATGAAAATAGGGTAAGCACCGTTTCTTATTTGAACTTTCAAGCACTTTGTTCTTTTTTGTGTTTAACAACTCCCAGTGTCGAACATTTCTGACCTGCGTTCATAGTTATATCTCGCGTGGAAACCCTAAAGACAACACGCGACACGTCATTCTGAGCACAGCTTCCATGCGTCCAACCGACTTTGCTGCTCAGTTAAATGTCTCTCTCGCCAATGGCTGGGGTATCGTCAGAACGATCACCGATTTATGTATGAAAATGCCTGAGGGCAAGTACGTCCTTATTAAGGACCCCAATAAGGTAAAAGTCACACTACCCTATTTGGGTCCATTCTAATTCATATGTTTCAGTCGGTGATCCGTCTCTACGCTGTGCCTATGACTGCTTTCACTATCGAGGACGAGGACGGTGAGGGGTACGAAGGGGATGAACCCGAGTCCGCGGCTTGAAGATACTCTTTCACACCGAGCTATGTATCTTAGTGTGCAAAATATATATGCATTCCAAGAATGCGTGAGACACTGTTTACAAAGAGATGTATGCGACGGTGTTCAAACTGAAATCGTCAGGAAGCCAAGAGCAATTCAACTGCTCTCTCGATGTTTGGACTACAAGTCACATGTTAGAACCTGACACTATCTTTGGAATAATAGGACAGCTAACCTCCTTTGTAACGCCCCGACGATAACGGCTCGTTGCATATTTGGGAACATTGTTGTCAACTGAGTAATCTCAGCGTCAGTCGGGACACGAACCCCTGTGGTGCCTTGCTCGTTCCTCCCCGTGAGTTCGTTAACCCATTCCCGCATGACAGAACCTCCTGTTTCTTCTGTGCCTGCGGAAGGACGCGCGGTGGCAATTATCTCTTCATTCCCGACGTCAGGGCTTGGCGCTTGATGGGTTGTTTCGGGACGAGCGCGGGTAGACCGTCGTGGTGCACGAGTAGAGCCCACTAATGGAAGTAAGAAACGCGTACTAAAGCGAATTACGGACGGGGACAGTCGCCAGCTTTTAATATTGACAAGTTCTGAACGATATATGTAGCCAGTGAGCAGTCCAACGACCGCCGAAGCAAATGAACCCGGAAGGTGCCCTAAAGCAAGCTGATGATAGTTATATTAACGATAGAACATGGACCAAATCCAGGTATTACCTGAGAAGCGAGTATGTACATGAACGCTTTATTGCTTCCAGTAATTCCAAATATTCGAAAATGGTACGCCGGAGGAATTAGCCTGTACCACTGATATAGGATGCTGAACAGTAGCGCCGATGGACCAGATGGGATCTGGTTGATTCCTATGTTGTGGAATAGTATGAGGGCAAGAAACTCTAGTATCGTTGCAAGTAGAACGGAGGCAACGGTAAATGACTTTATTATAGGTTAGGGCATCAACATCAGAACGGATATGTTGCTACGCACCGCGAATTTGACACTTCCAAACTGACGTTCTACGTGTACACCGACGCCATACAGCACAATCACAGCAATGAGGAGATCGCTTGAATTTGAGAACGCAGTATGGTGAAGCAAGAGACGCCAGTACTGTAAAGAAGTAGTTCTAGTTCAGATTCAGTTTTATGAAGCATGAACGGACTTCACTCGGATACCTGATGGTTGCGTGACACGTGAGGCACGAGCTGCAAGAATATAGTTAGCTGAGCTAAAAAGTCCTTCTGTTTTACTGATCAAGACTCGAACCTGAAGGTGTAAGTAGTGCTTGACATCGAATATGCCACCGACAATGGATGTCAATGCGCTACCCATCATGAGACCTGTAACACAGTAGGGAAGAGTAAGTGAACTGGTTCATGAAGTGAAGCAGCCTCGTTAAACCTTTGGTGACGGGAGCGTGCTCGAATGACATGATGATGCTTGGGAGGACTCAAGAGTAACACGTCGAGGTCACCGGGTGCTGGTGGGTAGGTTGTGCATTCAGGCGCTCAGACTGTGGCTGTGCACTTTTCTCCCTGGCTGTGAATCCTGTGATGATGCCATGAATCATGATTTACCTGATGCCACGGTACTCATTATCTAGTCAAGGATCGAGTCTGGACGGACTTGAACTCAAGTAAGTACCGGTATGGCATGAGTCATGACTCGCTAATTTTTGTTCGTCTACTAGTCGTTGTCTTGGCGCAAAGAGACAGTGTATCGCTCGCGGACCCTGCCGCTGCGTGCGGTCTACTGTCTACATGCACTGGTATAACTCGTATATTAGCTCGGGCCACTAGGTGCACATGAAAGCCGTTTCAATCATGCGTATGGACTCGAACGTGTTTGGGCTCTACTTGTCTTATCGACTCAGAATTCTCACTATCTCAACCTAGAACCTCATAATCTTTATCAATGGCGGCCACCCCGTCTAGTCATTTTCCCTGGTCGCTTCGGTAAAGAAGTAGCTGACGGACTTGCTAAAATTCCTGGCTTCCATCTCCATTCGCAGGGACGTCTTTCACATTTACCGAATAATCCAACCTGTGGCACCGGATTAGGCTTAGGATTGTTTTGTGATCTTGAACTGACGATTTCTAGAAAGCGTCCTTGTTCTTACTAGATCTGCCATACAATGTATTGGCTGGCTTGTGGACAGACAACGGTACCTCTATCAATGACGGAAGGTTGCGACCTCATTCTCCTTGTCCCGTGTCATGATCCACCGACAATTACTTCCCCTAGGGGTAAGAATTTCAAACTGGATCGATAAGGACATTGATTGTCTAGGCACCGAGGCTCACGCGTCTCATTCTTGCGTGTGACTTGCGCCGTTATAACAGCGCACGGGTACACATTTTGCAGTACCAGACGATTCAGTTGATCAGCAGAATACGGCAGATGCAAGGATTTAGATTCCAAGGACTCCGCGGAACTGTGAGTGCCAATAATGGATGAATTATCGCGGGCTTGGTGAGATGCTATGAGGGTGTTTATGTTGGGCTTCTTTGCATCCCTGCAAGTTCGCCCAGGAATCTTTCAGCTCAAGTCGCCGCGGACAGTCCTGCCTGCAATAGTAGTCTCTGGCCCCTGGGTATCTTGAGCTTAATGACGCTTAAATCAGGTTCTCAGGTGCTTACAGTTGTTCGTGTGTTGTCCAGCAGGTGATCCAGACACTGAAGGTGAGACAGGTGGCACGGCAGCTATCTTTGAGCACGCGCTTGTCGCAGTCAGTGACGTAGAGAGGTTCACGGATAGCGAGAAACTCGGCGGCGGGGGTTACCTGCAAGCAGGTACCCGTATCAGATAGACGCACAAACGTTTGCCGTCATTGCCAACTAACTTAACTGAAAACGGGGTCCGTTTTTCGCATGGAGAGGTACGCGTGCCCAAAGAGTCTCATGCCCACGGCCATTTTCATCCGATGAGTTACGTCCTCGTCATGGTGAAGCCCCTTTATTGTCAGCACTGAGGTGAATGAACGTTGAGAGGTACCGCACGGAGCGTATTGAGTCACACAATCAATTTGGTTTTCCGATAATAGTACTCTGCCTGTAGCTAGACACGGTGCCTCTGCGATATTTTCTCGCAGTGGCTAATCTAGGCAGTTCCCCCGGGCCGCCATCTTCGCTCCCGCCCGGTTCCTTGCCATCTACCAAGCTCCACACGTTACCGATTACGAGGAGAGCGTGCTGTTCAGGGTCATCGAACGACTCACCGCACAGCCGCAAATTTCGCCCGAGGGCACTAAGCATTCCCCGCATAGGGTCATGCCCTATAGTAGGTTGACAAATTAACCCTGTGAAAACTGCCCGGATATGTCAAGGACAGGCTTAGTTGTAGATCTCTGTCATACATGGATGACACTTGGAAGCAGAGCATTAGCTCTTCTTCTAGGAGCCTTCTCATAGCATCATGTGCATGGGACTCGGATCTAGATATGTGACTTGATCGAGTTGCCCGCGCGCGTGCTAGTTAAACGCAGATGGACACTTTTGACTCATCAATGCAATTCGGAGGGTGTAATCTCCATTTTACTTAGAGTTTTTTGGTGCTGTCCCCGTCTGAAACACGAAACCGAAGAGTATACACTCGTGACCAGTGATAGTCCGCCTATGACACAAGCCCGCAGGTCACCAGTCCACGCCACCCATCGGTTGGGAATATCAACACAGAGAGCTGGGGCAGTACAGAACTTCCTACAGGGCCATCATGTTCAGCAAAGCGTCGGAAGACCAAAAGTGGATGAGATGCGAACTAGCTTAGACACCTCCGACGGACTCAACCTTAACGGCGACATGTAGAGTTCAATAGCAATGGTGCATTTAGTAATCATTGACCACGGTGGCATCGCTGCATACTGCTGGATGACAGTGTGGAGACCTGCTCGTGGAGTTTCATCAATATAGGATGATATCGAAGGACAGAACTTTGTGTACATTACATAAACACAGCATTGCCGCAGCTTCATCGCAATGGACAGCATCCCATCATCGCTGCGGATTCACTACGGATAGCCAGAGATAAGCCAAAGTGTAAATGAACAATTTCTCAAGGTAGAATGCGCCCCAAGGCGCATCATTACGACCATCCCATCTCAGATAAGATTAGAACACTCGTTGGTATCTCCATGCTTCGCAGACTGTCCAGGAATTTGAATGCATTTATTTTTATTGGATGGTTATTTCAACACTTCATTATATTCGCCATGGTGGCGTCCACAGCGGAGTATTCGACCGGGACTGAATGTTGTATTTCAAAGATATGCACAGCCGAACCTTCCACGCTACTGCCAAAGCGGATGGATTGCAATGTGCCTGATAAAGTTTGTACGACAGGTGACGACAGTAAGCGTCTGAGGCCTTGAGAATGTGAAGACGACATTGGCTCACCTTGAGTGCCAAGTTCGACGCGGTACATCTAGTATACTATTCTTGTGGTTATCATGGTCAACGTCGTCACACGGTCGTTAAAATGGTACATCGGGTGTGTTGGTCAGGTCATCCCAATGTTTCATCCTGTGAAAGCGTTTCGATCGTGTCAGCGAAAAGTCGATGACATGAACCCTCACCAAAATTAGCACATGTGATCATAGATTCGCAAATGCTGTGGTTTTGTGAGAAAGTGGGAGTGTAGAAGTCCGCATAACCTTCTTCGTGTATTCGACCAGTACCGACTCGGAGAACTGGTCATAACGGAATCGACGCACGGACAACAGAGAAGACTTGCACAACGTGCGAAAGTTCTCATTGAAAAAAGCGAGGTGCCCCGTTAGCTTCTTTATTTAGAAGGGACGACCGTCGTCTATAAGGGTCTGGATAGGGGAGATTACTTTGATCCTATCAGTGGCACTGAGGATGCTGGGCATAAATCGATGTTCAGGCTGCACTAGTATAGCAGTTTGGGATAGTCAGTGCTTCCATTATTCCATGGCATTGTTGCTGACAGAACCTGCGAACAGCTACGACATCGACTTGTTTGAATATGTCGACACCCTTGCGCCTTGACTTGACTCGAGTTGGATGAATGATGAACGATTTTCATTGGTTGACTGCGCCTTATTACTTTCATTACATAACTCCAAAATTCGCGGAGTTTGAACTCCACGGTCGTGGTTTGTCATCTAGTCAGCACACCCTGAGCCGAAACCCTCAACAACTGACGATTGACAATATTAAAACGTGGAGACCATGAGCACTGCGAGCGTCCAAAATTTGGAGGAAGCTGTCACGATAGCGTCAGAGTTCATAATGAGTGAGCCAACCTCAGAGTCCATGTGATTTGGCAAGCTAAAGAGGTTCAATAATTAGCTCTTGACAACTTGCCTAGCGAAGTACAATTTCTGCTGCAAGAACTTCGCTCGAAAGAGACCGATTCTCAAGGTATGCAGCTACAATATCACAGACTCTGACAAAACATTTATTTATATTGAAGACATTCAGAATGATCTAGCCAAAGAGGCTCATAAATATATGCGACATGTCCTACGATCAGACGGCACAGACCCCATTTCGAAAGAGAAGGATAGGACTATAGCACCACCGACTGAGAAACTGAAGGATGCTCAAGAAAAACTTTCAGCGCTTTCAGACGAGAAAATTGCTCTGGCCTCTCGTATTGTCGACCTACTCTCTAGGAAGCGGGCCCGGTTAGAATACGACCTGGGTCGTGTCCTTGTTCTACAAGGAGAAACGGATCCAGCATCTGTTTTTGCCGGAGCCGCATCTTCGACTCCAGTTGCTGTATCAGGACTTGGTAGTGGCGCTGCCGGCTATGTGCTTGGAGGACGCAATCCAGCCGCTCAAATTAATGAAAGCTTGCGAAATGCGTTCGCTGGCGGTACCGCTACTCCTTTGGCAAGTGGCTCAGGAAGCATGACCTCTGTCGGAGGGCGTGCTTCGGTTGCTGGAGAAGACAATGCTTTCAAAAGTGAGTTTGCGCTTGTGCCATTGAACTTTGGTGCTGAACGTTAGATTCAAGAACGGAGATTGATGGGGACGCAGGGATCTATCAAGCTGCCATCACCGGCACCGTCTGCCTATGTACCGTCTACTCGAGGTCGCCGGAGAAGACGGGGAGCTTCATCTGAGGCTGAAGACTTCGATTTTGATTATGGAGATGAAACTCAAGGTGCAGAGGAAGCAGAAGCAGAGGAAGGTGATGGCGAGGAGGGCGAAGATGGCGAAGACAAGGAACTGTACTGCTTCTGTCAGAAGCTGAGTTACGGAGAAATGATCGCGTGTGACAACCCAGATTGCCCGTATCAATGGGTAAGCCTAATATTTCATCTTTTGGCAACCGTGATCTGACACGTTTGTAGTTTCACCTCCCTTGTGTCAACCTCAAGCAACCACTGCCCGAGAGTTGGTTCTGTGACGACTGCATTAGAAAGATGGGTCCTCCTGCATCTGGTCCTGGCCGTAAGGGCCGGAAGAAATAGGCCTTCCTCCTCTCGCTCACCATCTCGGGCTTTCCCTTACTATGTCCGTCCTTGGCAACGTTCGTGGCAGTGAACCCAGCCAGGTATGACCGAGTAAACCGGGAGTACACTCACGACACAGGCTGAAGTAAAATCAAATCACAAGGTCCTCAAGCAGGGCGTCTACTGTGAGAGCATTCGTCCATAATGGAATACTTCCCCCTCGTTGTGGTCGTGATGGACCCCAATCCGTACGTTCGCTTGTTGTCTTACTTGGTTGTCGCTTGGGCTTCTGCTTTGTAGTATACTGAGTGCCTCTCGGTGGCCTGTGCATGTGGCTTCGGAGCTGTCTAGGTTCCGTTGGAAGCATGGATCCACAAGTAGATTGTACGCGTGTACATGTGGTGAGGTGGTCGACTCCTGAATAAGAATCCTTCCTTCCTTCATCAATAAGCGCTGTCAGCCAATCTGAATTTCCCGCGTTTGAAACCAAACGTATGTGTGTGGCCTAGTCTTGCCAAGCCTCCCACAGCGCAAACTACATTGCCGCCGGCGTACCTGTTATGTGGGGTCATTCGCTACACGTTCAGGTTTCCGTTGGTTTGTTCAAAGCGAAGAACCTTATTGTTGACGTGCCCGTTGAGTGGCGTAGTGCTGCTCTCAAAACAGATTTGTATAAGCAGCACAAGCGTAAAGGCCTGTCATACGATTACTGGTGCTAAGATCTAAGATAGCTAGCTACTGACCATAGGGGATAACTCCCATGACTCGCTCTCCACGTGTGATGACTGTAGTGGCGTTTTGCAGGCACCGACATTCTTATTGTGGCGCGAGACCCACGTAGGCCATATGCATGGATGGTGAAACGCACACTAAGGCTCAGCTGAGTTGTTAGCTTAGACAAAAGAAGCACCCTTCTTTTGTCTTTAAGATGAAGCTCTTACATACTTGAAAATGGAAGCCGGGTGAAACTTGCAACCGCGAGCCACAAACGACGACCGACCTGTACCCACTCTTGGCCCACAATTAATGGCTGAGGGCATAATTACAATATGCCATAACGGATTCGTAACGGGTTTACAACTGTATTTTTACTTCACGAGCACCCTGGTTGCGATGTATCGATGCTAGGACCGCGGTTAGATATAATGCCGTGATGCTCAAGTCTTTTCCATGTCTATCTAACCAAACCAACGATCGTATACTCGGTGATGCCGGAGGCGTAACTGTGTGAATGAAGTGAAAGCTATCGACTGGTTCGCTGGCATCGGCTTTCCGTCGTGTCTCTACTCCACTGGGTAACCGACCTCGGGTAGAACATGGGCGTAAATTATGTTCTCTAATGAAAATCTCGCTAGAGGGTCACTAGTGGGGGCTCACACTAAATTACTCGTATGTAGCTTAATACAGAACAGGGTTTGTACACGCTTGTCTCGACTTCTTTCTTTCCAGATTACGGCATCATGATATGGCGGCGCGTTCAAACCGTCCGACGGGTAACGTAACTCTCCTCCTGCCGCCACACGACCGTCCCCGGCGGTGATCTATTGTACGTAGCACGTCGCTCTGAACAGGGCACTCAGACGACGTCTTAGAAGCCTTCGTGGCGTTTATGTCCAGGGCCCGGGTTAAACGGTCCGGCAAGTGGCGACTCGTCCAGTGTACTTTTCATCCATCAAGCACGCCAGGAGGAAATCCAGAAACTCTTCTTTCCATTCGCACAGGCATAAACGGATCACCCAGGGCCAGAAATGTACCACAGTGCACAAGTGCCCACATTCCCTGCGCCCTGTTGCCAATACGTACATGGTGCTAGTGCCCACGGCGTGCCTCCGGGTAATTTCAAGATCACCGCAGGACTTCGTTTGAAGATAGAAAGACGCGAACTTGCCTAGAAAACTCTGGTTCGCTGTGAAAAGTACGGAGTTTACCGGTGTGAGGAGCAGGAGAAGCGTTCATCGCGAGCTGCCGAAGACATGGACATGTGCTTCCAGTTCGATAAGTAGTAATTTACTATCCTATGACCGGAGCCGCGCAATCGAATCCTACTTACTTTGGAAGAAGCCCTTGCAAATGGGTGGCACGCTAACAAAGTGCTCTTGATAAGACCCTTTGAATGCCGGAGTACCAGTGCACCCGCGAATGGTTCCTGTCAATGGTTATGAATAGAAAGGGGTATACCAGTTAATTCAGAGTTGCGGCGACCTCATGATACCCTGACGCCTTTCCTCCCCCCCTCTTCCAATAGCTGACGATAGGAGGTTGGGCTGTGGAGTCTGTGTGGGTCACTCATCCGCTGCCATCGCACTGGAAGGAAGCGAACGAGCTACCATTCGGCTGGACTCACATGATACGCTGTCTTTCCATAACAGTGTGCCCTCCTTTTGGGCAATGGTGAAGAGAGACAGGCACATTGAGTGTCCGACGCCCATACAAGACGGGAAAAACCGAATCAATACTAACCTTCGGGGCACGTGGAGTATGGGTAAGACGTAGATGGAAGTGGGCGGCCTAGGACATGTCATGGGGGAGTCCTCAAATTTGCAAACAAGGGTTTCCTGAGGGTTTGTGCTAGGAACGTTCATCTTCAGGGGTTCGGGGAGTCTAGCGACTTGCCCGTTCATTTAATCGTGGAATGTGCCAATGAATGAGAACGATAATTGTGGCCGTTAGTACTATGCTAGTGAACCACCTATGGGGTGGCCCATCGGCTTTAAACTTAAGTTGCGCGACGATAAGGCCCCGTCCCGCTTATATTCAGTACGTTGACCCAGTATGTGTGGACAAACTCCACACATAGCTTTTTTGACAGCGGTGTCAATGTAATGTGCAACGTGATAAGCTTAAGAAAAGCGCTCAAGCAAAGTTCAAGACCTGCAGACAAAAATACGTCATCTAGACCACAATGCTGGCTACAAGCAGAACACCGTAATCTGACACGCGTCCTGCAGAGGGGAAGGCAATGTCAATCCTTATGCCTTTTCATCTCCGTCTCCGCGCTGTACAGTTAATGTAACGGAAAGATGAAATCATGGAGGTGCTTCTGGGGCGGGCGATGTGATTATAACACATGTCCCACACTAAACCCATGTTTCAAAGTCGAGGAAACCTTCTTCAACCTGTGCCGCATCAGTGATCAAACGAGTGGAAGATTCGCGCTCTGGGATTTAAATATTCACCGTACTTGATGGAGGGATGATTCACCATGTGTCTGTGTCTGTGTCTGTGACATAGTTATGATGTACAATTGCTCCACAGGGTTACAGGATGAACCAGGCAACCGAACAATTTCAATTGACGACGGAGCTTCTGGACTCGGATTGCTAAAGGTTAGAGATACCAGTAAGATGAATAGAGCCTGTGTTTCATCGGAGAGTTGAAATACAAGCGCTATTACGTTGGATACTAGACTCTGGGCCACAAGTGCCCAATCTGAGGACCATAGGACTCCCGGAATGAAACCGACAAAGTTACACCCCGCCAGTGCAACAATACAGCATCGCAAGCATAGCCCATGCAAAGATGATCACATGGATAAGCTTTGGGGTTATGCCGTGACAGTGCTGTAATTCCGACGAACCATAAGGTCCATAAAGAGGACACAGCATAGATGCATGTGGTAGGATGTTCAATTGTCCTTTCGGGTGTAGCGCTAGCACAGGAATCAAGAAGGGCGTTAGAATGATGCTGAATTGAGGTAACATGCGAGCGGGCTATGATTGGTGACGAAACAAGTTCATTGAATTGGACCGAATCCAATTGGACCTCGAACCTTGATCTTCCTTTGAGTGAGTTTCGGCGTACGATATGGCATGATGGTGAATGCGGATGATCGCAACAGGGGCAGGTCGGAAGTTGGGTGAGATACCGGAGTTTCAAGTTGAACTGAAGTAGTGGATGACCCCGCGGAGGAGAATTCAGATAATGGTTATCGAGGGGAGGTTGAATTAAACCGCAGTACTAGTGAGCGGTGTTAGCAGTGAGAGGCCTAGTTTAACCATCACGAGCTTAGACCACGGGTATAATTCATTTATCGATTCGAGTCCGCTTAGCAGCTAGGGGAAGGCGTCGGGGGTGGATGGGGTTGGAGGTTGGAAGCGGGACACCCCACAGGATATCATCGCACTGGAAGTAGGACCAGCAAAGCAAGTTCCATATTTAGACGTGAAGCACTGTGAGAACTAATAATAAGAATGGAGCTGCGCAGGCGGCCACTCGCAAATAGGTACGGTAAGAGCTTTGTGGCAGTGAAGTATGTGGTAGTATTGTCAAAAAGAAGAATAAAGGTGCAACACAGGATGACTCAAAGGCTACGGCAGCGTATGCGGAGGATCAAGAAGACTTCCTAAATTGGATCTTATGCGAAAGTAGAAACATTTAACTCACTCTTTTCAAGGGAGACGGGGTTTGACTTGCAATAACTGGCGGAGGGTGAGGGGAAGCGTGAGATAAATAGGCTTAAATAAGTAAAAATGGTACAATACACGGGGTCACAAGACGGCACGATGTCGGCACGGAGGGCATTATCCAATCAGGACAGGCCAACGAAGTGAGACTAGGACTCAGTTCCGACGGGGCGCTACTCACAAGTTAAAAATTGTTAAAAATGTACAAATTTATTGTGAAGAGAGCGTTTGCATGCTGTGCGTGGGAATTCAATGGACGTAATATGGAGGAAGCGATTTGTTTGTTTTTGTTTGCATTATATTTGATTATATTTGGGGCGCGATAAGAGATCTACCGGAAGAATCTGAATCTTGTTTTTGAACGGGATGTTCCGCGAATACCGAGATAGTGGAACGGGCTAGAAAGAAAGAGTAACCAAAATCTGGGAGAGGAGCTTTTTGCTCTAGTCCAAATTTGAACACTGCATGGACCTTCTTCTTATAATTTACCCGTACAGTGTCCTTTACCGATTCTTGTCTTCAACAATTCTAAACTTTTTTTTTCTTTCAATCCTCTGTCATGGATTTTGCAGCCTACGCATCTCCATACCCCGACTCATCCCCCGCCTACTCCGAGTCTTCTTCGACTCCTCGTACTCCATCTCCTCAATCCGTTGACCTCATCCCCACTCATAACTTTAAACATCCGATCCCCACTGTTCCAACAATATTTCAGGAAGACTCATATCTTCCATCCGACGTAGGATCAATGATCCAAAACGATTCTTGGGTTTCCCAAGCCAACTACAACAATTATCCAGCGCCACAAAGCTCCCTCCTTCGCGAGTTGTACGAGCCGGAACCCTACCAGAGTGAAGCGTACATCGACGATCACGCCCACTACAATGAATGGCAGCACCAACAACAACAGCAGCAACAACATCATCAACAGCACCAGCAAATGCACTTGCGCCAGCCCGACCACCATACACTTCGTCGCGCCACTTTCCCTTATGTCAGACATGACTTCCCCCAGCACCATATACCTCACCACCCCCAATTTTATGACCAATACCCGTCCATGTACAATGACTCGCTTTCAATGTCCCCAGATCCATCTGAGTCCCGTCACCCCCACGATCCTCAGTCCATTAAGCTAGAGGACACCCCCCTCATTGTTCCTTCCCAATTGGGTTTCGCAGCTCATACTCTTCACGGTCATCACCACCCTGGTTTCCTCCCCTCCGGAGCCGGTGCTTCAGTGCCAATTCAACACACAGATGATGCTGCTAGCAAAGAGACTCAGTACCTCAGAAGGCGTTGTTTTAATTGCCATACAACAGAGCCGCCTTCATGGCGCCGCTCCACTCTCAATCCTGGAAAGATCGTCTGTAATAAATGTGGTCTTTATGAGCGTACCCATTTGCGTCCACGTCCCCTTCGCTTCGATGAGCTAAGGGCAGGTGGAAAGACGCGTAAACCTGGCGAAAAGAAGGTACAAAAACCTGCTCCTCTAGCTGGTTCACCCCAGATCAAGAAGGAGCCGCGAGAGTTCGGTATGGCAAGGCGTAGCTCCGTTTCGAGCACCGCATCGAGTGGTGGCGCAGTCAGCGACTGGGATGATAATGGTAAGTTTCATTATTTCTAACCCGTTGTTAAGCACGTGCTAACAATTTCACAGTGTCGGTGTATTCGTCACAGCCTCCTACCCCTGGCTCTATCTCCGGCCCTCCTTCTAGCTATTCATCGCCTTCCATTGCCACGTTTCCCATTCCTCGTAGTTCGCAGAGCCCGCCTATCGATGCCGGCCCTCAGGGTCCAATTCGTCTCCCTAACGCCCCGTTGACAGACATCGCGTCTCTTCAACAACAGGCGCCTAGGAAGTCGGCAACTGCCCCGGGTTATTTCCCCCAACCTCCAATCTCGTACCAGGGACAGGAGATGTTGCGTCGAGGCTCAATGCCTAGGCTCTGCGAGCAGCCACGCCAAGTGCAGTTTGCTTCGCCGCAGATTCCAACGCAATCACTAGCTCCCCTGCAGGGCCCTACTTCGGAAGCGCCCGCTGAAAAGTCGCCGCAGATCGCGCAGATGCAGATTTCGTCACCTCAAATGATCACTTCATCGCCTGTACCCGCAACAGCCGAGCCACCGTCATCCTGAGAGGACGGCACGAGACACGTGTTTTTCATGCCTTACCCTGATTATCACGCTCGTTTGGATCTTGGTATTTATTCGGTTTTACAACTCAATTCGCACATCGTCATCTTGAGCTCGATTTTCACGGCTTATTTAATTATTCACGTCGTCGCAAAACGGCGACCGACAAAGACGCGGGCAAAACGGTATCTATATCCCGACAATATATCCTGTATCCTATATTTCCCGCCTCGCATCCAACCCTGTCGACTATGTCTATATTGCGCATATACATATCGCCTCATAAACCATACCCTGCCAGCCATACCGCGTTTTGTATGTCGTCTCGATGATAGATACCCGTCTCACCAATACGAATGACTGCCGAATGTGCATGGAAGAAGAAAGGGAGTGTACTTGTATAACGCCATTGTTATTAGTTAGTATACCTACTTAGAACCTTTTTCGAATTTCAGACGCAGGAACATGATTTTTTGCTATGCACACTGTTGGAGTGGCACCATTCAAATATTCATGTCCGCCAATAAGTTAAGGTTGACTCAACCGCGTTAGCAACGACGAGGACTAAGTTAGCCTGGAGAGGTAAATTGCTGTAAATTGATAACGTTCTTGAGGTGACCACGCTGGACACGCCCCTTCATTAACCTGCTGCTTCGGGAGGCACACGCTCGCTAGGAAACCCACTCATCCCCTTTGCGTCGAACTACAAGCGTCATATTCCTCTCCTTGACCGCCCAGGTGCGGCGAACATGAGGCGCGCGAGAAGCACCAAGAATGGACGCTTAGGCATAATGTAAGTGAAACGTTCCTTGAAATGTACCTCTAGCGTCATGAAAGGCAACGTTATTCTATTCAGTTCTCATCAATTGGAAAGCTCAAAGAAAGCCCCAAGAGCGCTAAAAACGGGGGTGATCAAGCGCAATACGTACAAACTACGTGGCAACAGTGGAATCCGAGTAATAATGCTCCATTATTCCTCGGCTGTGCAAGCGCTGAGACAGCAAGTTTGAAGTTAACGTTCATCGTACCTTCGAAACATTCGTGTGACCGGCCGCCATACCATCGCTTTGAGTGGGGCGTGACACGCCGGAACCGCCCTAATAGCATCCCCAATTGAAATTTTCTGCCAGCGAAGCACTTTGTTCTTCCGAATTCTGCTCTTCTCGTCGGATGCAGTCACAGACGACGCTTCGAGGGCTCACGTGTCTTGTCAATGTCACTCTTGTCAGGGTCAGCCGTGGATCTTAGTATTCTTACACTTGTGTGTGCTCCTGGTAGGTTCGCCTCGGTCGCACAGTAGATCTGACCCCACACACTAGGAAATCACACGTGGACTCTGGCAGGGTTGGTGACAACCCGTCCACACCGGTCCACCCCCGGCCCGCTCGAATGGAATCGAAAGTCAGTTCCTCGTCAAGATCTGCCAAACGAAGTGCCACCGTTAATTAAGAATTCAGCAAACTGAAACAATATTCAACGTCCATGGGCTCCGGTAGTTATGCAGGGCCGAGGCCAGCGGTTTCCCAGCCAGTCTTGCTTGACAGCGTGTGCAAGTTGGTGGTCTCCGCCGTAGAAGTTCTGGGATGAAGGACCTGGCGAGACGAATTTTTGTCGGCTCGATTGTCTTTGGATGACCTGAATTTGAATCTTCACGGATGCGGGTTTAAGGAGGAGGAATACCATAAATTTGGACGAGCGTTGATAGGACTAACTGTTGAGGCTAGGATGTTCCAGATAACTGGTCACGCGCGGTCAGTAGTTGATTGCATGGACGATCACATATATGAATCGTCAACCATAATTTCACTGTAACATATTATATCTTACCAACGTCGAGACGCAAGCTATAAGATTTTGATTTTCTTTGACGTGCGGGTGAATATAATGATGTTTTGCTTTCATGCCACGTCCGCCATTACTGAACATCAAGCTCTAAATTGAAACTGGACTAATTAGCTTGTGCCTGTAGCGACGCTCGGGTCGTCATACGGACCGAGGCTCACGTTTATGCTCGCTGGAAATGAGCCACGAGAACCAATGGTCCGATGAAAGAAATAGTAGCCCTGGAAGACGAAGGACAGATGAGTTTGCAGTGCTCCTGACGATAATTTTAAATCTGATAATACCTAGCAGAGGAACATCCGAGCCAGTGGGTGACCTGGTAACGCGAACCTCCCCTATTTTTACCCATGACCAGGAAGAGCCAGGAGGTTCCGGGTTTACGGTCGTTCACGGTAATTAATGTGGGCACATAACTTTTAGGTGCATGCAGGCACAGCTGGCCAATGGTGCAGGTTTTGCGCTGCTTGTGTCTAAAATTTCATCCCTGTCTCCGTAGGTAAGTGTTTTGAAATTCTCGGGCCATCCGCACGAAGGTGAGTTCGTTTTGCTATTGGGTAGCACAGATTATGCGGCTCGTTGGCCTTCAAGTTCCCCGCATTTTTTACTGCGATGCAATATTATTATTGTCAGCCGCCGCAAGTAAATATTTCGGTGACTGATCGTTTCATCGGATATGATAATTTCCAATCCCAAGGTTGTCGACCAAGGACTCGAACGTTTGGAACTGTCAAAAACGCGGGGTCATTTATCGCTACCCCTGCATACTCGACATTTCCCCCGACTGCCGCACTGCATCGGAATGACGTACCGACCGCCATGTACGGGCGGATATCCTGGAGGAATAACCAACGCAATAACCAACACAGGGGAAACGCTCCGCTCTTGTGGTGTAAGTAGTTACCGGGAATGAGCCAGCGCTGATCTCAAGTCGAATGCTGCAAGGACTAGGCTAGAATGAAATCCCTTCCATGGGAATTTGAAACTTGGTCAGACTTGCGACAATGAAGTGCGAAGGTTTTACCCCTTTTTACTAGTTGGCTCCAATGATTCTAGGATGACCGGCACGGGTCTCTCAGGCTGGTGCACTCCGACACTACGGATTTACAATTTGTATGGCTTGCTTGGAAAGCTCCATGGCGTAGCTGCTAGCTTTGTGCAGAGCGGTGCCAAAATTGCCAATAAACCACCACTGGTGTGAAGTATACGGTCAATTTGAATTATTCACCACATGGTTCCAAGGTCGTCGTCGTCGTCGTCTGGTGGTGGATCGTGAGTTCATGCGTTGCTTATCTTGGACTCAATTCTTCAAAGCATACCGATATAGCATCTGTTACGACTAGTTACGACGAAAATAAGCCTTTCAGAGGGTTCAAGATCTAAGAACTTCACTGGTGGAGATTTTCCAATTCCGGTGCGCTCAGGCGCACACGGATTACTTTACTGGTGAATGTATTGCATTTGCGACTCCACGGTGAATTCATTGGTCTCGCTGCAGTGCTAGAGGTCGCCTATCCCCACGAGCGACTTCAGAGGTACTTCGAGGTCACGATGCATCACGGACTTCTCTCCGCAACCGAGGCAGTCGAGGCCTGTCATCTCCGCTACACGAGCACAATGAACCCAGTAACAGGGATCTGCGGTGCTGCCATGGATAATTGATCGATGAATCGTGCAATGCACAGCCGCTGATGCTACCGACCTCCCTTCCCAGACTCAAGCTTATGAGCAGCCACAAGGCATCGCAATCGTGATTGCGACATGTCCACTAAGAGGTTATCAACCCACTGCCACCATGGTCGCTCACATACCCATCCCTTGACCCTTGTGCCAGTGCTTGTGACCTGAATATCTAATTCGGACAAGAGCCCCGTTGATTTCGAATTTTTCACGATAACGGTCCATGATCCACGTATATAGATGCCTTCATTTATTTTTCATAGATCAAGTCCGTTCACTGCAACGTTGTAGGTCCGTATTGTGAATATACAGTGATTTTGACAGTAGCAGATTCAGTGTCGGACCCAGTGTTTCTTTTCCCACCCACGTTTCGAGGGTCATTTGAAGCGTACGTTTTGATGCCACTCCAGCAGATTCAAAATTTCCATAGACATGAAACTCAGCGAATTGTTCCTCACCCAGGCTCCTTCAAGATTTAGGGAAGGAAGTAACCACAGCTCGAAACCCAGTTCACAGCCGCAGAATGCCACGATTTATGGATCCAAGCCATTTCTAGCACAACTTTGATCCGGAAGCTGGACGTCTAGAACACGAGTCGTGCTCTCCATGCGGTGCTTACTGCGTATCGACACTCACGCTCGACGCATGAGAAGGCCTTGTTGCCACAAGTCGCAACAACACTGTTTCATGTGAACATCATCATGCACATCTCCATCTCCTCAGTGCGCAAGGCCTTCCGACCGAGCGGCAAACAGCTGTCATGCTCTTCTTTCGAGATGATTCAAGCTGTTATCTCATTTGAAACTCTACCAGAAGATATACTCTACCATATTTTCAGCTACCTATCAGTAACGGAAATCGTGAGGTTGCAAAGGGTATGATTTTGTTTCGCATTCTGTCACCGGTGCCTTCGATTGACAGAAATATACAAGGTGTCCAAGACACTCAAGTCAGCCGTGCTTCGCGACGCAACCTGGTTTAATATCTACCGTACTTCCTCACGTCCACGTATTCCCGCATTATTGTCCACCAACTCCGCAAGTTATCTTCAGTCGTGGCTAACTTCAAGTGAGAAATTCGATCGCTGGTGCTCAAATGGCCCACGAGATGGGAAGATGACCATGGACAATAAAAGATATAATTCCCGAGCACTGAATTTCGGCAACAAAGAACTTCCACTGCCTGGAGTCGCTCGCAGAAGAACGGTCGAGCTCTATCCAGATGCTACCGGGAATCACACCCCTTACGGCCTCATTTTCAGCCGTTGGTTGATTGTCACCAGCATCTGCTCCTCAGAGGCACCTGTCAGGTGCTTTGACCTGGATGCAGACAAAGGAAATGACCCAGCCGAAGAAGCACCCTTGCAGCTCTATGCTAAACATTCGACTGTGCTGTACACGACCTCCGGCATGATTTTTGACCTCCGTTGCGTCCAAAGCACGCGAACCAACGGAGAACGTGTTGCATTTGTAATTTTAGTGGAGAATTTTTTTGCATTGTCTGTCGCTTTTTTTGTTCTGTCGGTGAAACTTAACGTTGGTTTTGATACAGGAAGGTATTCCAATTCCATATCAGCTCGAAAGGCTCTCAGCCACACGTCGTACTTCAAGATGTTTTTACAAGACATGACATGCATCTATCTAGTCTTCGAGAGGTTTCGCTTGGTCCGAGGTTAATTGCCATCAAGTACGCGCGAGGTGGTACTTTCAGGAGCCCAGGACCCAAGAGTGATCACATTCTCTGCCTTGACATTGAAACGTTCACAACATTTACTGTGACGCACGATGTAATGCACATGTCCATGCCTGTGCGCAGTTTAGCTGATTACTAGTCTGTCAGGATGCTGCTTCACCGAGCCCAGTCGAATCTATGCTTTCGTGCACCTCGCACTTGCTGCTACTGCGCGCGTCATCGACTCACACGTTGGTCGAAGCATATGAAATTCCTCCGTCCCAACCCAACGAGTGCAAACTGCAGGGCCCGGCTAACGATCTTAATCCAAATACGTCTGCAGGTCGCCTGCAACGTAGCCACGAGGGTGTTGTTGGTAGCAAGCTATCCAATGTAGTCATTGTTCACGACCCCATGTTTCCTTATTCTCGTTCTGCCGCCAGTGGCGAAGGCAGCTATCACGATGACGAAGGCGTCACAATCACCGCCTCATTCCACAATCGCACGGATGACCACAAAACATTCCTTGGTCTCGTGCGACTGACTTTATTGCCCCGAGATAGTCTCTCGAGCGGGGGCATCGCCACTAGGATATTGGGCTCACATATACATCCTACGGATCCCTCCCCGCCTACAGTAGTCATGGACTCTTCATTCAATGGCTCAACAAAGGGCTTCGTTTTCTATCCTGAAGAAGTCACAGAAACATCATTAATACCTAGGTTCCGCGTACGACCTGCACTGAGCGTTCGTTCGCCCCAACCTCCTGAAGCCGAGTTCATCTCCGTCATGCTTGGGGAGGGAACGGGGGAGAGATTGAAGAAGCGTCGGGAGATCACATCGCTGGTACGAACTACCGCAGCATCTCTACGATACACCGACTTTGCGTCTGGTGACGAGGATACCCTGGAAGAGGCACAAGCTGCTAGGAGGGCGCGGGCAACAATACGCGTGGTTCCATGTCCACTTCCGGTCGATGGTATTTCGGCAAGAGATATACTGTTCGACGGCTGCACAGGTCGGATGGTTTGCAAGCGGCCCGTACGTGTCGCTCACAGATGGATGAAGAGGATCGAGGTCTGGGATATCGTTTGAGGCGCTCGATGAGCCCAGAGCATTCTAATAGGCTATAGCATGTCCCGTGTTTTCTAGACTTTATGTAGCCTCGTTTGCGCTCAGTTTATTTCGCGTTCCCTCAAATAAAATTAACGAATGTACGGTCTATGAACACAGGGAAGACAACTAGCTAACCAGTATCCCCGTCTTTTGCACCAGGTTCTGAAGGTACAGGTGTCGAGGGTTGCGGCGCTGCAGTCACGATACCTCGTAATGCAAGCTTGAACTTTTTTGGTGGATCCTCCCCAGGCTTCACCGCATTTATTCTACCGCTCGAAGGCTCAGACTCCTTCCGTGAGCCTAGATCAGCTCGTTTTGGCTTATTAGCCAAAAGGTCTAGTTGCTCATCATCATCATCTCTTCTCCGCTTGTCACCAAGCCGTATCGGCAGCATCGAAAGCTTGGATGATGCCTTTGAAGGCGCGTTTGAAGGAGATGGGGCAATGGATTTAGAACGGAGTAGAGACTCCAAGAGGTTGTCCTCTTCATCCAAAGAGGACCGCCGAGGAAGTGGGGGCGGGCGTGAAGAAATTTGTCGATGAGATATTCTAGGACTGGGTGGTATGTCTGCAGCAGGTGAAAGGGGTGAGCTGCGTTGGCTGGCTGTCGTAGCGGCTTTGGATATTGGTCCCGAGGGTACTTTGGGCGAGGGTGGGCCGATTTCTTCCTCATCTTCGTCACGATAATCCACTAGAGATTTCAAGGGCGGAGTGCGAGGAAGTGCAAGTGGTTGTGGACGAAAGCCTTTCCCAACCATAGCACCACGTCGCTTTCGTTTCAATGCAGTATGCACGGGTGATGACGAGCGCCCGCGTAAATGAGGAGAGATGAATGGAGGGTTTTCGTCATATGGATCACGACTGCCAACTTGGGGAGAGATCGAGGGCGCATGGTTATCGCTTTCTTCATCCTCAGCATTGAAATAATCTTCTTCCTCGGCATCAACATTTCGGCCCATATGCCGGGGATCTCGAAGACTCCTATGACGAGAATGAGCAACGGCCTGTACGTCAGACAATAAGTACGTACTTGACCGGTTGTGACTCCTCTTTGGGAGGAGGTTCGATGTTGATCTCCCACCGCCGAATGAAAGACATGAACCTGTGACCACTAAGTGGCGATGCGGCCAGTTGTCGTACCAGTGATTCATGCTTCGTCATGCAGTGATTAATTGGGTCTTTAATATTTTCCTATACAACATGATCAGTTAAACGGACAAGGAACGAGGAAATGACGCACACGACGCATATGTTCGAAGAACTCCTGACATGAGGCACTTAGTAAACTATCTCGCCGAGACTCCTGTATCGTGAGATCCAAGATCGGTTTGAATACATCTAGTTTCATAAGGTGAATCATGAAATTTGGGTTGTTGACCTTGAGGCATATTCGGAAAAAGCGAAAGGCAGCTGCGCTCTTCAGTCAGTATAAATACTACACAATATGAACGAGATGTACCAAGACGTAAGTGCTTGTCCCGGGCTTTTAGGAATGAGGCCATACGAGCAGAGATGTGGGAGGAAAGCATGGAAAAGTGAATGCGGAAGCCATGCTGTTGAGCAAAGTTGCATACTAAGTCGCATAAGTATAGGTAAAGGTTAGTCTTCTCGCGTGAAAGCTTCAGCACTGGCTCTGTGATCAATAAATCAGTTACAAAATGTGATTCACGCGTCAGGTAGAAACGAACCAGTCTGGGTCTTGAAATCAGAGATGTCGTGGAATGGTTTGAATAGGAGTTCTATACATCTCTTGTAGAAGTAATCGAGAAACTTCTCAGTTCCCGGGTCGTCTTTCGGACGAAGTAACTTGACGTTCAAACCAGCCTGAAACCGCTGTGAGATAGTTACAATACGTAAATCAGACAACGCTTACGGGTGTCAAATCAGGACCATCCTTGGGAGAGACATCCAGCATGG